CCGTAAATCTTCGACCAATTCTCTGAACGTTTCGGTTCTTCTCCCCCCAAAAAAATCAACAAAATAATCACTGCAATCAATTTTCTTCTCGGGCATGAAAAATGAAGCAACATTTTGGTTTAGAAGTGAGCCAAAAATAGTTTTATTGTTCAATTGCCCTCTATTACTGAATCCATGCTTCTATTGTTCTCCTCAACCAATGTCACACTATATCACTACATCTTAAAATTCACTTCAAGCATTATTCATTTGATCCGATTCAATTACCTCTGCTATATTGACACCTTTTTGTTTACGGTTCAACAGCGTGAATGCGGTAGCGTTTTGAGGTGACGACATCAACGCGTAGTAGTAATATGAGTTATAGTGTTCATGATGGAACTGTGTCTTGCCATTCGGTGAAGCATCAGCAGCAGCACTCGCATTGTACAGTGCCAATTCATGATCAAACTTAATCACACTTTCAGGCTTATAATCACTTGATATGTGTGCATGATAGACATGGGACACGAAACGACGGGCATCCCTGAAAGGAAATAGTCATTTGTGTAACAGTTTCAAATTAGCAAATCAACTGATTCAATTTGAAAAAATTTATCCGCCTCATAAAAATTTCGCAGTTGACCAAAGCTAAGAGCCGGTCGGAATTTCTCAAGCTCCAGATCTGGAGATTGGTAAGAGCTTCACTATTCTCAGAATTTAAGTATTTTGACGAGAAAAGAAGAATTTTGAGGAATCACACGAGAAGGACGATCATCTGATCTAAAAAAGTTGAATGTATTTGAGCACTTGAAGCACCACTCACTTTCTAGCCACTTCTACAGCGACAGTTAGAACTCTTTGATATGTACCATAAGTGGACAGAATAAAAAGCGACAGTGAAGAGCCTTCAAGATGTGAGATCGATTTGGCAACTAATATCCTGAAATTGAATCCGAAAATTACACAAAATGATCTGTTTTGAGAAATGAACAACACTCAACCACGATTTTAANGCAATGTCGGTATCGGTCAATATTTCCACTATTATAATCGGAATGTATTGTTAGTGCAATTAATTATTGAATGATATTGACATCACGAGTCAACAACTACTAACAATATCCAATAAAATAAATAAATTTGATCAAATTGCTTGACTACAATTTGATTGGAGTGAACATATGCTTTCATGAATTATTGATTGTGCACTGCGACCGACATTGAATTAAGTGCGAAATTGTTTCAAATGAACATCAAAATGAATAATTCATATCGAATGCACAAAGCAACAACAAGTAAAATTACAAACCTATAATTATACAGCTGAAAATAATCACTAAAATTGTTCGATTGTAATGTCAACGTTTCATCGGGATCCATTAGGAATTCGTCAAACATGAGATCAACCACAAGCCAATTGATAGGCGCATCATGCCTCACCGCATATGAGGCTTTCGGCTGAACATTGAAATATTTTAATGATAGTTGCAAAACGGTAACAATTATATTTTTACTGATTTATTAACTCTGCTGATAATGATACTATTGTCATTCTTCATATTCGATGTTTTGTTTCGCTGTAACACAATTATTATTTCCTGATATTATATGTTTTATTCACTCATCGCTAGTGATTTTATTAACACTACTAATTTCATGCCTTATTATTATATTCTTTATAATTAGTACAATTATTACATCAGTATAATTGTCATTCTCAAAATAAGTATCACTACCAAAATACTCTCACTGAATCAGTTTCCCTCAAAAGAATATCTTTTTCTATTTTTTCATCTAGCTAACGTCTTTCTTCACTAGTAAGTTGTCGAATAATTCTTCATTGTTGAGCTGACATGAGTCAAAACCACATTGTGTAATTTGGTGTGTACCCTGACAACCTTTCAAATAGCCCC